CCGCCGCCATGACGCGGCCGCCCCCCCGCACGTCTGCCCTGGCGGCGGGACGGAGGAGCTGTTGCGGAGGAGAGGTGCGACCTCTCTTCTCCTCCTTGCTTCCTTCCTTTATTTATTTTAAGGGAATACTTTTTAAAAGTATGCCAATAAGAAAATATGGCGTCGTTAGGTATATACGGTTGTCTAACTCACTGTTAAAAGATAAAAGATGATTGCAACGTAAAGCATGGGCCGTATGAACTTTGCTGGCCAAATTTTTGTTCAAAGTGTTTTTATAAACTCCCCAAGAAGCTTTTCTTTTAAGAGTCTTTTTTTTTTCTTTTAAAAGTCCTTTTTAAGTCCTCTTTAAAAAGATTTTTTGGATTAGATGATCTCTAGAAGTCCCTTCCAACCTTAAGCATTCTATGATTTTTTAAAATGCCACTAATGAGAGTGGGAGAAGTAGAAGCTGAGCTCTTCAAAAATGAATTGGTCATGGATCTTTGACTATCTCATAATTAGCTTTAAACGGATACATCATTTCACATGCTTAAAGAAACAAAAACATAGGAAATGGAACAAGCCCATATAATTATTAAGGGAAGAGAGGGTGGTTATCTCAGTTGTCGCACTCAGAGAACTAATGCTAAACTCGTTAGTTCAGGGGCTCCCAGCATCTGGCTACAGCCACTTCTCATCACTTTTACAGCTTGAAAGAAGTAACGTAATACTTTATTACTTCACAATCCATTGTTTTTCACAATACCTTGTATTTCTTTGAGATTTTTATATTGTGAACTGAAATGCCATTTAATGGCTTAAACATAGCAATAAATTTTTGATTTTCAGAAAAGAACTTATGCAGTTTTCCAGGTATCAGCAGGTGGCAGAGTGTTTATTATTTTTGCTCATGTGTATACTTATAGTGTATTTTTGAATTAATAATAGATCCAGACACAACATTTTGGTGAGCATTTAAAAGCTGTTTTCACGCAATATGCGAGGATCATTGAGCAGGAAAATCATCAGTATTACAGTTGTTTCACAAAAAAAAATGTGATTGGAAATGACCTCTGGAAGTTACCTAGTCTGGGCTCCCACTCAAAGTGGGTTGAGTAATGAAGTAGGTCAGATTCGCTGTAGCGTTGTCTTCACAACTCTTGAAACCACCCAAAGGCGAAAACTTCACATCTGCATGTCTGTGTAAACAGGTTTTTGTTTTGATTTTTTTTTTAATAATGTTCTCTCCGGACCTCCAAGGCACAGTTTCTGGTCATTGCTTTTGTCTGCCACTATGAAGAAATGTTTGACACTGTCATGTTTGTTACCTACCTTCCAGTAGCTGTAGGCTACAATTAGGCCGCTCCTTAGGCTCTTCCAAAGACAAATGCTGCTATGGAACAGTACCTGTACCAGCACTGGAGGTGTAAATATGCGACTATTTCCAAGTACTTAACGTGGGCTCCATATGTAGTGTTAATTACATAGTTAAATCTTTAAAGGGTCAGAGGACAATAACATAGTAAAAATACTAACTTTTAAAATTGAAGGGTTTTTTTATTGTTCATTGAGGAGTCCCAAAACAGAAATAAATCTGCGATCCCAGCTCCTTGCAATTATAATCAGTTTTCTAATTTAATTCAGAAACCTTAGCAAGGATTTCCAAAGTCTCTCTACTGGATTCCTAAAATACTATTAGGACCTAAGTCTCAATCATTCGCCAAGCTAAGGTGGCTTTTTGCTACACCTTTTGTGGTAGCAGTTGATGATTCCAAGGTGTAAATACTAAACGACACATGTTGCTGCTGAGTAATTGTATTTAATAGCAGGAGATGGCGCTCTCTGCCTGCAAATCTCTACTTCATGTTTACATTATACTGTAAATTCTTTAACAAAATAGCGCTGAAGGAAAGGGGTTGTTTTGCATACATGGCACAATAATATGAAAATCATCTCTGCAAAGCCCAGGTGACTGGGGACAGAAACCTTAACTAGCTTTAAAGTTGAACTTAATCTTAACAACACTAGGGATTTCTAAAACTCTTCTGTGTTCTACTGGAACACAATATGGATACACCAAAGGTTGTGTTGGTGAAATATCTTTGGGAAAAGATAACCAATTGACTGGATTCATTTGTTATCATATATTAGAAAAAAATGTAAGAAAAGTGTGGTTCAGTGTATGTAGCAGAGTGATTACATATCACAGATCCAATAAGCAGGAACAATAGCCCCTGTGTCCTGTGAAAGAGGGAAAAAAAAGATTAAAGAGTGCTTGCCAGAGGCTGTAAATGCTTCTTTTCCTTCTCCAAAGCATGCCACATCTTCCTTTACCTAAGGCAGTCTTGGGAACAAGGAAGGAGTAGCGGGTGTACGTCTGCTCCTCTGCCCAGCCTGCCTTGCCCAGGCAGCGCCAGCGTGGCTGTGACAGGCACCGTTCCCTGATGTCCTGCCAAGGGCTGTATATCTTTTCCACGACCTCCTCTACAGTTCAAGCAGGCATATGGAGAAGGTTAAAAGGGAAGAACATACCTGTGTAAAAAGCAGCTGTCGCATACACTGTTTTTTTTTTTTTTTTGGCTGTGAATAGTGACTTAAATCCAGCCCAAAGGTGAGTGAAGCTTCATTTGTGCTGTAGTCATTGACGCTGAATTGCTGTTAACGCATCTGGCCAGAACACTCAGTGCTTCAGGAGAGCCTGGCCATTGGGTCTGTGCAGAAATCCACACGTGTACGTGTGGCGGGCAGGAGAAACACCCGTCCTTAGGCTTTTCAGAGATTTACTCCCAAACGTGTGAATGAGAACTGGTATTATGTGCATGTGGCCTCTAGATTGCTGGGATTCCCCCATTTGACTTCCGTGAATGGGAGCTGCCGTGAGGGTGAGCAGACACAACCAGCGCTGACAGTCTGTCCACTCGTGCTCGTAGCGCTCAGAAGCTCTTCCAGTATCACAGCGCCAGAAAACCTACTGAGTCTGACAGGCTGCGTCTGAGTGTCGCGAGGCCACCCGAGGCCGCTGCGAAACCTGTCAGTCACTTCTGGAGTAACCAGCCCACAAAAAGGAACAAGAAAGGTGAGCGGTCTTTGGTGGAGCATGTGTGAATATCAAGGGAAGGTACACCAGAAGGCTGAGGAGAAATTGTGCTCGGGATAGTCATCCTCCAAGAGCTTACTGGGGTATGTTCCTGAAGTGTAGATAAACTTGTGGGATCACTACCAGAAAGGAAAATGCTCTTCTTGCTGTTGTGCAATATCTTGGGCTTTCTGTGATTAACGAGATTTCCTGTCAGAACCCATAACACTTGCCTTTCTAGAGCTACTATAAGAGAAAAAAAGCAGTCTTCCCTCAGGCAAGTAGAAGTAACAGATCTGCAGAGCCAGGAGCAGGACTTCCAAATAGTACATTTAACAAAGAAAAAGTCAGTCTAAGATCAGATCAATCTTACATGAGCAAGACATTCCCAATGTAAAAAGGCATCTGAATTAGAGGATTAGGCCACACTGCCAGATTAACATCATTTGATCTTCTGCTATTGAAAAGCCACTGGACTTCTCAGAGAATGGGAGCATTCAGACTCTAAATGAAACCACAAGCCTGGCTTAGGGAAAAAAAAAACTGCTAAACTGAAAACTACTTGCCTTGCTTCAGTAATTGTGGGTTTCTCTCTGCTGTTTTAGAAACCCCTTGCATCTTGATTTAACGAAGAAAGGCTGCAAAACTGTATAAATCTGTCTCAGGCCATATACCGGGGAAAGACTTATGGTCACATGAAGCTTCTCCCTGATCTATTTCTTTTTTTAAGGTGAAAGATACCCAAATAGCTTTTTGTTGTTGGTCATTATCTGTATAACACATTTACAATCTTTCTGGCTTTTGTTTGTTTGTTTGTTTTGACTTTTTTTTGACAAATAATGGTGTTCCTTCTCAGCTGCAGGATCCACCCAGGTCCAGAGAAGTACCCACAGATGATATCTGATAAGAAAGCAAGAGAGGAAAGCAGTTCCAGTCATGTTGGTTATTTTCCCAGTGGTAGTTGTTTAACCTCAGTGACTAATTAACATTGTTAATATACTTAAATAATTTTAACTTTGTTAAAATGTAACTCTTGCTTGGGAACCTGCAAGAAAAATCATAGAAGGTCAGGCTTGATCTGGTCTTTTCTAAGATAAAGCAAGAAGTACAGAACCTTTCTATGATAATAAAGCCTTTTGTTACTGAAAACACCAAAAGCTGTAGGGAACCCCAAATACAATGAAAAAAAAAGCCCTTTGTTTATCCCTTATATCCTTTCATATATATATATATGTGTATATATATATATATAATCACAGGTTTATTCAGAATTACTTTTTTGTCCAGGCTGTCATTTACTGAGAATAATAACCAGAGGCACAAATAGCAGATCCATTCTGCAGCCTGGAAAATTCCAATAAAATTAAATCAATAAGGTCTGTATTAGATGCACTCTTGAGTGCATCTTGGACAGAGCAGCTCTATGAGGGCATGTCTCCCTGCAGGATATAAAATGAGATATTCCACCTACTAGTTCATTTCTCTCTTTGCATCTACAGTTGCTAAAGGGGAATCAAATTTATAATGTTAAATAACCATCCTCCTCACTGCCTCCCTTGAGGTACTTACAGACACTGATCAGATCCCCTCAGCCTTCTCTTCTCCAGGCTGAACAGGCCCAGCTCTTTCAGTCTTTCCTCATAGAGCAGATGTTCCAGGCCTCTGGTCATCCTTGTAGCCCTATATATATATATACGCACTTTATATATATATCTCTATCTTTTCTCTTAAAAAGCTTACATT